TTATTTGTGAAAAGGCTAGACAGTTGCATGACGATTTGGTAAAGAAATTGCCTGCAACTAGTGATGTGAGTGAATTTAAGGCCAGCAAAGGCTGGTTTGAGAGATTTAAGAAGCGTACTGGCATACACACTGTGGCAAGGCATGGTGAGGCTGCCAGTTCTGACAAAGCGGCTGAAAAATATGTGCAGGAATTCAAGGAGTACATAGAGGCTGAAGGACTGAAACCTGAATAAGTATTCAATTGTGATGAAACAGGCCTCTTTTGGAAGAAAATGCCAAAGAGGACCTACATTACTCAGGAAGAAAAGGCACTGCCAGGACACAAGCCTATGAAATACAGGCTGATGCTCATTCATGTTCTGTGCTAATGCTAGTGGGGATTTCAAAGTGAAGCCATTACTAGTGTACCCTTCTGAAAACCCCAAAGTGTTCAAGAAAAACAATGTTATGAAGAGTAAATTGTGTGTTTTGGAGATCTAATAATAAGGCATGGGTAACAAGGGACATTTTCGTCGAGTGGTTCAATGAAGTGTGAAGAATTACCTCCTGGAAAAGAAATTGGATCTCAAGTGCCTCCTAGTAATGGACAATGCACCTGCTCATCCTCCAAACTTGGATGACCTAATTCTGAAGGAGTTTGGGTTCATCACAGTAAAGTTCTTGCCCCTAAATTCCACTCCTCTCCTCCAGCCCATGGACCAGCAAGTCATTTCAAACTTTAAAAAGCTCTACACCAAAGCAATGTTTGAAAGGTGCTTTAATATGACCTCAGACACTCACTTGACCCTAAGAGATTTTTGGAAAGAGCACTTCAGTATTCTCCATTGCATAAGCCTTATAGGTAAGGCTTGGGAGGGAGTGACTGCCAGGACTTTGAACTCTGCTTGGAGAAAATTGTGGTCAGATTGTGTCCACAAGAGGGATTTTGAAGGGTTTGAGGCAGCCCCTGATGAGCCTATGTCAGCTGTGAACTCTATTGTCGCACTGGGGAGTTCCATGGGGTTGGATGTGAGTTTGGAGGATGTGGAAGAGTTGGTGGAGGACCACAGTGAAGAGCTAACCACTGAGGAGCTGCAAGAGCTTCAGCAAGAAGAGCAACAGATCGCAGCTCAGAATCTTGCTGCAGAGGAGGAGGAAGAGAGATGGAAGAAGGTGCCTTCTTCAGAAATTAAGGAGATTTTTGAAATGTGGGGTAGGATGGAAAGATTTATGGAGGAACATCACCCTGAGATGGATGTTGCAAGCCATATCGGCAACTTGTACAGTGACAGAGTCTTGGACCATTTTAGGGAAGTTTTAAAGAGACGCCAGAAACAGAGCTCTCTGGACAGTTTTTTTGCGAGACAGGACTCCATTGACTCAAGCTGGTCCTAGTGACATTAAGAAATAGAGAAGAGAAGTAACCCCAGAAAAGCAATTGGTACCTGAGGTGTTGATGGAAGGGGATTCCCCTTCCAAACAGTAAATAATCCAATCTGTCTCCTTCTCCAGTCTTCCATACACTAAGAAGAATCGCCAATAAAGGTAAGTGTTATTCTGTTAATGTTTCATTCATCATGTGCCACTGTATTGTTTATGTACTACATCTATATTTCATGTATAAAATTTTTTTGTTTTAATACTTATGGGGAAAATTGATTCGAAAATCGTCTATTTCGATAATACACTCCAGGAACGGATTATGGACGATTATTGATGGACCACTGTACTACTCTGCATATACTCATGTTTCAAAGAGTTCCACAAGCTGCAGCAGTTCTAGGAAAGTGTTCATTGACTGTACATATGTATATAGTATATATTATGAAACAATAGTAATAAACAATGTTTTGTATTGTTTGTTTGTGTAAACAAGTTTTATACACAATCCAATAGTGATAATGTTTGTTCAGTTATTGTGTTGTAAACAATGAGTGTATATTTGAAAAATGCACCTTACTTTGGTCTCACAGGCCTCATAAGTTACTTAGAAAATAAGAATATGGAAAATACAAGAAACCCTTGAATTGGAGTAAATAAAAGAATACCGGGTGGGCGGCATTCGCCGCTGTTGCCATACGCCACTCATTTTCTGCCAACTTTGTGCCTCTATATCTCGGTAAGTACTGATGGCAAAAATTTTTTTAGGCTTAAAACACTCAGTAAAATAATCCTAACATTTTGTTAAGAAATTTTTTTTTTTCGAATATTTTGTGACATAGAATGACAGTTTCAGAAAGGGGCCTGCGACAGTCAAAGAGTTAAAACAAAATAATTTTTTACCCGAAATGTAGATGTACATACACAGAAAACAATGAGACATGAATGAAACAATAATAACATGACACTTACCTTTATTGAAGATTCTTCTTAGTGTATGGAAGACTGGAGGAGAGGAGAGGATGGAATAATTACTGTTTGGAAGGGAAATCCCCTTCCATAAAAACTTCAGGCACCAAGTGCTTTTCCTGGGGTTACTTCCCTTCTTTGTTTATGCCACTAGGACCAGCTTGAGAGTCACTGCTCACCTGTGGCACTAAATATCTGTCTAGAGAGCTCTGTTTCTGGCATCTCTTGAAAATTTCCCCAAAATGGGACAAGACATTGTCATTGTACATGTTGCCGACACCGCTTGCAAGAACTCTGTCAGGGTGATGCTTCTCCACAAATCTTTCCATCCTACTCCAGTGCACAAATCTCCTTGATCTATGAAGGCGGCGCCTTCTTCTGCCTCTCTCCCTCCTCCTCTGAAGCAATTTCCTGAGCTGTGGTCTGTTGCTGTTGCAGATGAAGCTCTTGCAGCTCTTCAGTGGTTAGCTCTTAATTGTGGTTCTCCACCAACTCTTCCACATTCTCACCACTCACATCCAACCCATGGAATTCCCCAATGCCACAATAGATTCCACAACTGGGGTTAGGTCCCCAGGGTAAGCACCAAACCCTTCAAAGTCCCTCTTTTGGACACAATCTGGCCACAATTTTCTCTAAGCAGAGTTCAAAGTCCTGCAAGTCACTCCCTCCCAATTACGGTATACTGAAGTGATCTTTCCAAAACTCTCTTAGGGTCAATGGAGTGTCTTAGGTCACATCAAAACACCTTTGAAACATTGCTTTGGTGTAGAGTTTTTTGAAGTTCAAAATGATCTGCTGGTCCATGGGCTGGATGAGAGGAGTGGTATTAGGGGCAAGAACTTCACTGTGATGAAACGAAACTCCTCCACCATTTGGTCATCCAAGTCTGGAGGATGAGCAGGTGCATTGTCCATTACCAGGAGGCACTTGAGTTCCAGTATATTTTCCAGGAGGTATTTCTTCACACTGTGGCCAAATACTTCATTGAACCAATCAAGGAAAATGTCCCTCGTGACCCATGCCTTACTGATAGCCTTCCACATCACACACAAGTTACTCTTGGCGACACTGTTTTTTTTGAACACACTGTGATTTTCAGAGTGATACACCAGTAAAGGTGTATCCCCACTAGCATTACTTCAGAACAAAAGAGTAAGCCTGTCTTTCACAGGCTTGTGTCCTAGTAGTCCCTTTTCGTCCTGCGTGATGTAGGCATTTTCTTCCAAAAGAAGCCTGTTTCATCACAATTGAGCACTGGCTGGGGTTTTAATTCTTCAGCCTTTACATACCCCTTGAATTCATGCACATATTTTTCAGCCGCATATTTGTCAGAACTGGCAGCCTCACCATGCCTTACCACTGTGTATGCCACTACACTTCTTAAATCTCTCAAACCAGCCTTTGCTGGCCTTAAATTCACTAACATCAGCACTTGTTGCAGGCATTTTCTTGACGAGATCGGCATGCAACTGCCTTGCCTTCTCACAAATTATCCACTGCATAAAACTATCTCCTGCTATTTTTTTCTCATTGATCCACACCAACAATAACTTTTCAAAATCTTTGAGTACTTGCGATATCATTTTTGTGAGCATATTCACTCCTTTCGCAACAACAGCTTCTTTGATTTCCTTTTTCTTGGGCACGATGGAAGCGATGGTTGTATGGGGTTTCCGATACATCCTGTCAAGTTCTGCCACACACACTCCACTTTCATATTTTTCAATGATGTCTTTCTTGAATTTTGTAGTGTTTCTCACCTTTACCAAAGGCCTGGCACTAGCAGCTTTCTTTGGGGCCATGGTGGCTTATTTACCACCATGGCTTATTTACCACCAGTTGCAAGCACTAAAACGAATGGAATATTGCAAAATGCATCGTATGAACACGTGGGATAGTGATCACTTGCTGATAAACAGGCCTCCCAGCCTGCCTGCTGAACACACATTAAGCATGTCACAGAATCATTTCTCTTTACTTAGGGCATGGGTTATAGGACATTTTGGCAGGATGACCCTACCAGTGATATTGAAATTGAAAGGATGTGGCACAAATGTTGCACATGGGTTGTTATCGAGGTTTTTGATATTTCCTCAACCACATTTGGCCACATCCATCTCAAAGCCACTAAAATCAGGGTCAACATCACTTTCCTCTTAAAAGGGGAGTGTTAGTAAGACATATCAGTGAATTCCTGGTGTTTGCCATGCTGTTTGCTCTAGCTGGTGCTCAGTTGGACTGCTGCTCTCACAAGATACCAAGTGGGCCCAGATTTTTTTAATACTGTGCACACCGAGTGTTAAAACCCATTGTATACTGACCAGGCATCTCAGGCCAATCATGCCAAATTTGGAGGCAGGAAAAATAGAACATTGATCTACATTTGGAGTGCTAGCGGTAATAGCATAGGTCTATGTTTGGACAGTTAAGGGGTTAAGATGTAAATCTTCACATAACTCAGTGAAACATGTAGAAGCTTCTCTGGTTGGGGACCTATTTATTCTTTTATTAAAGAAGTACTTCCCAGAGTTTGTAAACTAATAGTCTAGTAAACTAAAATTTTGTTACACAGGTTCTATTTTGATTTTTCTCATTTGTGTATATGAATTTAAAAAATAAAACAAAAGTTACATGAAAATGGTTTATAGTTTTGTGTTTTCATATTTCAGAAGACTCTGTGCAGTGGTATGCCATTCCGCGTATATGCTCCTTCAGGTAGAATAGAGAACACCAAGTATGCTCTTGACATCGGTGCAAAGCTTTTACATATGTATGAAACTATGTTTGATCTGCCATTTCCTCTACCAAAGAGTGGTAAGCTCCCAATTTTGTCTCATTTGGCCTATTAACTATATTTTTTCTTACTTAATACCTATGTGGCTTCTAATTCTTGGAATCAGAAAGAAAATTACAGATTAGAAGATGTGGGGTTAACAGAGGTATAATTCAGAGGGCTGAGTAAGGGTTGTTGAAGTGGTTAAGGCATTTAATGAGGATGGAGTAGAATAGGATGGCCAAGAGGGTGTATAAATTGGGGTGGATGGAAGGAGGGGGGGGGGTTGCTTCAGGAAGAGTTGGGGGAGGGGATAAAGGAGATTTTGAGTACTAGAGGCTTGAACATCCAGTAGGCTTCTGTAAGCATATCAGTTCTTGAGATGGACAATGATGCCTGCACTTTGGAGGAGGGATGATGTTACAGTTCAGGTCATTTGAACTGATGTCTGCACACTTTTGGCAATACAGCTATTAAATGTATGATGGTGAATGTATTTTTTTTTTCTTTGGGTCACCCTGGCACAATGGGAGAGGAGCAGTGTGTTAATAAAATACATGTTTCAAATACCTTCAAGTGTTTCAAACACTCAGGAAAGTTCCACTATAACAACCTTAACAAAGGCTTGTGAAGTCCCCACTGTTGCTGCTGTTGACAGCCCCTTCCTCCTCCACACAAATACAGTGGAACCTCTGTTTTTTTTTGCCCTGGTTTTCACTGAATTCGGTTTTCAATGATTTTTTCATCAACATTTTGTCCCAGTTTTCGTACACTTCAGTTTTCGTTCGCCGTACTGAACGTGTCTGACTTCCAGTGCTCACATAAAGCATCCCACGCACGTGTTCTGAGTCAGTCTGGCTTTGTTTCTCATCAGGTGAATATTACCCTGCTCTTTCATACGAAACATTTCGTAATAATCCATTGTTTTTTGTGCTTGTTTATCGAGTTCAACTGCTAAATAAGCCACCATAGGGCCAAAGAAAGTTCCGAGTGCCAGCCCTTTGATAAAGAAGGCAAGAAATTGTGGCCAGAAGGATTTTGAAGGGTTTGAGGCTGACCCTGACAACCCTATGCCTGTTGTGGAATCTATTGTGGCTTTGGGGAAGTCCATGGGGTTGAATGTGAGTGGCCAGGATGTGGAAAAGCTGGTGGATGACCACAGGGAAGAGCTAACCACTGAAGAGCTGCAACACCTTCAACTGGAACAGCAACAGATCGCAGCTGAGGAAATTGCTTCAGAGGAGAAGGAAGAGAGAGGGGAGAATGTGCCTTCTTCAGTGATTAACCCTTTGAAGGTCGACAGGCCCTCTCCGAAACTCGTTCTCAGGGTCGGCCAAATTTAAAAAAAAAAAAAAAAAATTCTCTTATGAAAAGATAGAGAATCTTTTCCCGATCATAGAGACACCAAAAGTTTGAAATTTGATGGAAAACTTACGGAATTATGCTCTCGCAAAGTTAGTGGTCTCGGCGATGTTTATGCATCGGCGATTTTGCCCACTTTGAGCCCCATTTTCGGCCAATTCCACTGTACTAGTCGACAAAAAACATGAATATTTCGCTAGAACTCCATTTTTTCTATCGAATGGGTGCAAGAAACCACCCATTTATGAAATTCAACTATCCAGTACAGTGGTCAGAATTTAGCAATTTTGCCAATTTCACACAAATTTCAAAAGATGCCAATTTCCGAATAGGGTCCAGAATAAACAAGAGACACATTCCTGGCACTAAAATGACATTTCCTCTGGTCATTAGTCACGTCTCAAGGCCCCTCTTATATTCTTTTGCTTTCCACTTTGAATTTTTATTCTCAGAAAAAATATAAGATTTACTGTTATGCAGACTACTGCATTAGTGTAAAAAATGGTATAAATATTATTGGCGCACTTGTGAAAGAATATTAGACTCACCAGTTGACGTGTATTGCATGCTTGGCACGATTTGTTTACTTTTGAAATTTGGTAAAAATCGAACATTTCTGCTACTTTGAGCTCAATTTCAAGGTACCTTTCATTGTAAAACCAGTCAAAATCATCTCAATTTCTGTAATATGTCTTCCATTCTATAAAATGAGACCAAGAAAACTAGAATACAACAATAAATACCATACAAAAATACAGTGCAAAGTCGCTGTTTTATTCCAAAAAAATGGTCAAAGTTTTTTTTTCTCATTATGCACTGTGTGCTGCAGGATTTTTTTTAGACTGTGCACACTAACCACATAGACCCATTCTTTCATATGAAGGCCTACCAGCTTTCTCCCACTAGATTTGAGGGCGCTAGAATTTAGGCGTACTAGTACGTCAAAAACCCTGGGTCGTAAGCCGTACTAGTACGTCCGAAACCCTCAAAGGGTTAAGGACACGTGTGCAAAGTGGAGTCAGTTGCAAAGTTTTGTGGAGAGATATCACCCTAACAAAGCTGTTGCAAGCCATGTCTGCAACATGTTCAGTGACAGTGCTTTGTCCCATTTTAGGCAAATACAGTGGACCCCCGGTTAACGAACTTTTTTCATTCCAGAAGTATGTTCAGGTGCCAGTACTGACCGAATTTTTTCCCATAAGGAATATTGTGAAGTAGATTAGTCCATTTCAGACCCCCAAACATACACGTACAAACGCACTTACATAAATACACTTACATAATTGGTCGCATTTGGAGGTGATCGTTATGCGGGGGTCCACTGTATTAAAGAGACGCCAGAAACAGACCTCTCTGGACAGATTTTTTGTGCGATAGGGGTCCAGTGACTTACAAGCTGGTCCTAGTGCCAGTAAAAGACAAAGAAGGGAAGTAACCCCAGATAGGGACTTGATACCTGAAGTCCTTATGGAAAGGGATATCCCTTCCAAACAACAACCTCTCCTCCCTCTCCCCTCTCTGCCGTCTTCCATACACCAACAAGAGTCTTCAAGAAAGGTAAGAGTTATGTTAAATGTTCATTTATCCATTTCATAGTCCTTTATATTTATTTCTTATTGTTATCTGTATGTTATTCTCTATAAAATGTACTTTTTGGTTAATACTTTCGGGTGTTTGGAGCAGATTAATTAGATTTACATTATTTCTTATGGGGAAATATTGCTTTAGTTTTCGCCGAATTCGGTTTTTGTCAGACTTTCTGGAATGAATTGAAGACAAAAATTGAGGTTCCACTGTACCACCACCACCACCACAAAAATCAAATCAAATCGAAATGTTTATTTCCTCGTAAAGCTTACAATGTGTGATTTACGTGTTATAAGATATTAATTACAAAGAAGGCCACTAGCATGCCTAGGCATATTGGGCAGACTATACTAATTCTTACCTTTACTCAAATAACCACCACCACCCAAATCACCACCACCACCTCCCAAAAAAACCACCCAAACAACCATCACCACCACCACTCAGATAACCAACACCACCACCAACTGAACCACCACTTCCACCACCAACTGAACCACCACTTCCACCACCAACTGAACCACCACTTCCACCACCAACTGAACCACCACTTCCACCACCAACTGAACTGCAACCACCACCATCACCCCTCAAATCACCACCACTGCCAACCAAACCACTACCACCCCACCACCACCCTCACCACCAAGCAGCCAACCAAGCACCACCAACAGCTAACCAACTGCCACCAATCAGTTAAGCAACCACCCCACCACCACCAACAACCATCCAACCACCAACAACCATCCAACCACCACCAACCAGCCAACCAACCACCACTAACCATCACCCCCCACACACACCAATAATAACATCAGTGGTTGTGAAGAATCACTACAACCAGCAGTGAGATTTGTGATGGATCCTCTCCATCAACAATGACAGTAAGACTCATGATGTCTTACCACCACTAACACACATTATTACACTATAACAATAATCTTTCATCAACCCTAGATTATATCAGTTAACTCTGTGTTTTAATATCCATTTTTTTTTCAACAAACTGGCCACATCCCACCAAGGCAGGGTGACTGAAAAAGAGAAATAAAAGTTTTTCTTTTTAAATTTAGTAATGTATACAGGAAAAGGGGTTACTAGCCACTTGCTCCCATTATTTTATTCAACTTTTACGACACACATGGCTTACGGAGGATGGAGGAAGAATTCTGTTCCACTTTCCCAGGGAGATAAAAGGAAATAAAGAACAGGAACTATTAAGAATAAAACTTTTAAGAAAAAACCCAGATGGGAGTGTATTCACCTAACTCTCACCTAATTGTGGTTGCAGGGGTTGAATCATAGCTCCTGGCCCCTGCCTCTTCACTTGTTGCTACTGGGTCACTCCCTGCTCTGCGAGCTTTATCATACTTCTTCTTAAAGCTATGCGTGGATCCTGCCTCCACCACTTCGCTTTCCAGACCATTCTTCTTTCTGACAACTATGTGACTGAAAAAATCCTTCCTAACATCTCTGTGACCCGTCTGAATCTTCAACCTCCAATTGTGACCCCTTGTCACTGTGTTGCATGTCTGGAACATCTTGTCTCTGTCCACCTTGTTGATTCCTCTCAGTATTTTATATTATTATTATTATCATGTCCCCCCTATCCCTCCTGTCCTCTAGTGTTGTAAGGACATGCCTCTTAACTCCTGGACTAGTCTTGTTGCAAACCTTTGTACTTTCACTAATTTCCTGACATGCTTGCCCAGGTGTGGGTTCCAAACTGGTGCTGCATTCCCTAATATAGGCCTGATGTACATGGTATACAGAATCTTGAATGACTCCTTACTCAGATGTCAGAAAGCTGTTCTTAGGTTTGCTAGTCACCCACATGCTACAGCAGTTATTTAGTTGATGTGTACCTCAGGTGATATGTTAGGTATTATACTCACCCCTAGATCCTTTTCCTTGAGTGAGGTTTGTAGTCTTTGGTTCCCTAGGCTGTATTCTGTCTGTGGTCTTCTTTGCCCTTCCCCAATCTTCATGACTTTGCACTTGGCAAGGTTGAACTCTAGGAGCCAGTTGCTAGACCAGGCCTGTAGCCTGTCCAGATCTCTCTGTAGTCATGCCTGATCCTCCTCTGATTGAATTCTCCTCATTAACTTCACATCATCTTCAAACAGAGAGACTTCCGAGTCTATTCCTTCCGTCATGTCATTCACATATACCAGAAACAACACCGGTCCTAGAACTGACCCCTGTGGAACCCCACTCATCATAGGTGCCCACTCCAACACCTCATCATGTACCATGACTTGCTGTTGCCTTCCTGTCAGGTATTCTCTGATCTATTGCAGTGCCTTCCCTGTTATACCTGCCTGGTCCTTCAGCTTTTGCACTAATCTCTTGTGTGGAACTGTGTCAAAAGCCTTTTTATAGTCCAAGAAAATGCAATCTACCCACCCCTCTCTCTGTTTTATTGCTGTCACCTTGTCAAATAACTCCAGGTTTGTGACACAGGATTTCCCATCCCTGGATCCATGCTGGTTATTGCAGATAAACTCACTCCTTTCTAGGTGCTCCACTACTCTTTTGATAATCTTCTGCATGACTTTGCATACTTTACTGGTCTATAGTTTAATGCCGCATGTCTGTTTCCTTTTTTAAAAATTAGGACTACATATGCTGTCTTCCATACCTCAGGTAGTTGCCCTGTTTCGATAGATGTGTTGAAGATTGTTGTTAGTGGTACACAGAGTGCCTCTGCTCCATCTCTCAGGACCCACAGAGATGTTGTATGGCCCCACCGCCTTTGAGGTATCTAGGTCACTTAGAAATTTCCTCCTCAGTTGTGTGTATTGTGTCCAGCACTTGATGGAGCACTCCACCACTCCATGTTTCTGGAGTCCTTTCTGTCTCTGCTGTGAATACTTCTTTGAATTTCTTGTTAAGCTCCTCACGTACTTTTTGGTCATTTCTTGTGAGCTCCCCTCCTTCCTTCTTCAGCCTGATTACCTGGTCCTTTACTGTTGTTTTCCTCCTGATGTGGCTATACAACAGCTTTGAGTCGGACTTGGCTTTTGCTGCCATGTCATTTTCGTGTTTCGGGTGTGTAAATATGTGCGTGTAACTGCATGTGTAGTAAATAAAGTAGAGGCTATATTTGCTATCCTGCATGTTTATGAGATAGAAAAAAAGACACTAGGAATCCTACCATCATGTTAAAAACAATTGCAAGTTTCTGTTTCACACTTACTTGGCAGGACGTTTAGTATCCATATCTTACATTATTTACGATATAACCCACTTTCTTTAACCCTTTGAGGGTTTCGGACGTACTAGTACGGTTTACGACCCAGGGTTTTTGACGTACTAGTACGCCTAAATTCAAGCGCCCTCAAATCTAGTGGGAGAAAGCTGGTAGGCCTTCATATGAAAGAATGGGTCTATGTGGTCAGTGTGCACAGTCTAAAAAAAATCCTGCAGCACACAGTGCATAATGAGAAAAAAAAAACTTTGACCATTTTTTTGGAATAAAACAGCGACTTTGCACTGTATTTTCGTATGGTATTTATTGTTGTATTCTAGTTTTCTTGGTCTCATTTTATAGAATGGAAGACATATTACAGAAATTGAGATGATTTTGACTGGTTTTACAATGAAAGGTACCTTGAAATTCGAGCTCAAAGTAGCAGAAATGTTCGATTTTTACCAAATTTCAAAAGTAAACAAATCGTGCCAAGCGTGCAATACACGTCAACTGGTGAGTCTAATATTCTTTCACAAGTGCACCAATAATATTTATACCATTTTTTACACTAATGCAGTAGTCTGCATAACAGTAAATCTTATATTTTTTGTGAGAATAAAAATTCAAAGTGGAAAGCAAAAGAATATAAGAGGGGCCTTGAGACGTGACTAATGAGCAGAGGAAATGTCATTTTAGTGCCAGGAATGTCCTTCTTGTTTATTCTGGACCCTATTCGGAAATTGGCATCTTTTGAAATTTGTGTGAAATTGGCAAAATTGCTAAATTCTGACCACTGTACAGTGGACCCCCGCATAGCGACCTTAATCCGTGCAAGAGGGCTGATTGTTATGCGAAATGTTCGGTATGCGAATGAATTTTCCCAATAAGAAATAATGGACATCAAATTAATCCGTGCAAGACACCCAAAAGTATGAAAAAAAATTTTTACCACATGAAATATTAATTTTAATACACACAAACTGAAAAAGGCATGCACAATTACATGACACTTACTTTTATTGAAGATCTGGTGATGATTGATGGGATGGGAGGAGGGTAGAGAGAGTTAGTGTTTAGAAGGGGAATCCCCTTCCATTAAGAGTTGAGGTGTCGAGTCCTTTTCTGGGGTTACTTCCCTTCTTTTAATGCCACTAGGACCAGCTTCAGTCACTGGACTTCTTTCGCACAACATATCTGTCCATAGTGGCCTGTACCTCTCGTTCCTTTATGACTTCCCTAAAGTGTTTCACAACATTGTCAGTGTAATAATCACCAGCACGGCTTGCAATAGCAGTGTGAGGGTGATTTTCATCCATGAATGTTTGCACTTCAAGCCACTTTACACAGATTTCCTTAATCTTTGTAGTAGGCAACTTCTTCAATTTCTCTCTCCCCTCCTCTGAACCAGTTTCCTCAGGTCTGGCCTCTTGCTGTTGAAGTTGATCTATCAGCTCATCAGTGGTTAGTTCTTCATTGTCCTCCTCCACCAACTCTTCCACATCATCCCCACTAACCTCCAACCCTAAGACTTTCCCAATGCCACAATGGATTCCTCAACTGGCATAATCTCTCAGGGTTAGCCTCAAACCCTTCAAAAATCCCTTTTGTCTACACATTCTGGCCACAGTTTCTTCCAAGCAGAGTTCAAGGTTTTCTTAATCACTCCCTCCCAAGCCTTACCTATAAGGTTACACAATTGAGGATATTAAAGTGCTCTCTCCAAAACTCTCTTAGAGTCAGTTGAGTTTCTGAGGTCACTACAAAGCACCTTTCAAACAGAGCTTTTGTGTACATTTTTTGAAGTTTGCAATAACCTGCTGGTCCATGGGCTGCAGGAGAGGAGTGGTATTAGGAGGCAAAAACTTCACCGTAATGAATTTTCATGTCCCCATAAAGTCGCTCTGCCACGTCTGTAGGATGGCCAGGGGCATTGTCTAACACCAGGAGGCACTTAAGTTCTAATTTCTTTTCAGTTAGGTAATCTTTCACATTGGGGGGCAAATGCATAGTGTAACCAGTCATAGAAAAAGTCCCTAGTGACCCATGCCTTACTGTTTGCCCTCCACAGCACACACAAATTCTCCTTTAGGACATTCTTTTGCCTGAATGGTCTGGAGTTTCAGAGTGATACACTAATAAAGGCTTCACTTTGCAATCACCAGTAGCATTGGAACACATCAACAAAGTAAGCCTGTCTTTCATAGGCTTATGTCCTGGGAGTGCCTTTTCCTCCTGATAATGTAGGTCCTGCTTGGCATTTTCTTCCAAAACAGGCCTGTTTCATCACAATTAAACACTTGTTCAGGTTTCAGTCCTTCACTGTCTAGTGCTCCTTGAATTCCTGCACATATTTTTCAGCCGCTTTGTGGTCCGAACTGGCAGCCTCACCATGCCTTATCACACTATGTATGCCACTATGCTTCTTAAATCTCTCAAACCAACCTTTGCTGGCCTTAAATTCACTCATCACTAGTTGCAGGCATTTTTTAATTAAATCCTCATGCAACTTCCTAGCCTTTTCGCTTATGATCGCTTGAGAGACGCTATCTCCTGCTAGCTGTTTTTCATTTATCCACACCAATAAGAGTCTCTCAACATCTTCCATCACTTGCGATCTCTGTTTCGAAAACACAGTTAAACCTTTGGCAAGAACAGCTTCCTTGATTGCCTTTCTGTTCCCCACAATAGTAGAGATGGTTGATTTGGGTTTCTTGTACAACCTGACCAGGTCGGCGACACGCACTCCACTTTCATACTTATCAATGATCTCTTTCTTCATCTCTATTGGAATTCTCACCCTTATTGCTGTAGGGTTGGCACTAGAAGCTTTCTTGGGGCCCATGGTCACTTATTTTCCAGATAAAGCACCGAAAACACTAATACGAAATATTCCGATTGTATGCTTGGATGTTACCGCGGAGGCTGGCTGGTAAACAATGCCACCGGCGGAACATGTGAGGCTGGCTGAGGGCTCACATTGGACGTGTCTCGGACGGAGAGCGGGTTTTTGGGCGGTATGCGAGGCAAAATTTTTGCGATCAAAGCGAGCGGTATGCAGATTGTACGGTATGCGATGCGTATGGTATGCGGGGGTCCACTGTACTGGATAGTTGAATTTCATAAATGGGTGGTTTCTTGCACCCATTCGATAGAAAAAATGGAGTTCTAGCGAAATATTCATGTTTTTTGTCGACTAGTACAGTGGAATTGGCCGAAAATGGGGCTCAAAGTGGGCAAAATCGCCGATGCATAAACATCGCCGAGACCGCTAACTTTGCAAGAGCATAATTCCGTAAGTTTTCCATCAAATTTCAAACTTTTGGTGTCCTTATGATCGGGAAAAGATTCTCTATCTTTTCATAAGAGAAAATAATTTTTTTTTTTTTTTAAATTTGGCCGACCCTGAGAACGAGTTTCGGAGAGGGCCTGTTGACCCTCAAAGGGTTAAACAGGTTTTTAGCAGTAATATGACAACACCGCTTGTGAGTGAGACAGTCTTTTGATTTAGGGAAGCCTTCCTCTCCACTTATTGTGAAAGTTACCACCTTATGCAGAAATAAGTTTTCAAATTTTAATAATGTTTATTACAGAGAGTTGAATAAGTGTGTTGAAGAAGCTTTTATTGCTTTTCTTCTTTCAGACATGGCGGCAATTCCTGATTACTCATCTGGAGCAACCGAGCATTGGGGGATCATAACTTACCGGGAAACTTCCATCTTTTGCAACCAAGAGCGTAGCTCTGCTGAGAACTGGCAGCGAGTGACAGCTGTAATAGCCCATGAACTCGCACATCAGTGGTTTGGCAACCTTGGTAAGCAGGGATGAATTATAAATTCTGTAACATGTCATATAACACTGTGTGAAGTGGAGAACATGTGGGAAAACAGAGGTACAATCCAGACACCTCCAGATTTGTCTATCAGATTTTTTTAATATTCTTCTGGGTAAAAATTATTACAGTATTACTTACCACACACATTCTCTTAGTTGTTAGTTGAATAATTTGAGGAGCATGCTGTGTTAAAGTATTCCTCTTTTCAAGGCCAGTTGTATTATAATTATTTATCATCAATAAGCATTCTGGTAAGTATTATACAGAGGTGGAGAACACTTTAAACTTAATAGTAACATTTATGAAGGGGCTCAGGGAAACCGGCAGGCCGGACTTGAGTCCTGGAGATGGGAAGTACAGTGGCTGCACTCTGAAGGAGGGGTGTTAATGTTGCAGTTTAAAAACTTTAGTGTAAAGAAACCCTTCTGGCAAGAAAAGGGGGAATTTAATGAGGGTGAAAGTTTTTTTCTTCCCCCCACCCCCCTTGGTGGGAACCCGGCCCGGGGTTTTAAATAAAAAAAAAAAAAAAATTTAATAAAATACTATTTAAAAGGGTAATTCTTACTTTTCCCACATTAGTGTTAAAACCCCAATGGGGGGTTTAAGAAAGATTTTTAAATGAATCAAAGATTTTTAAGGGGTTATTCAAAAAAGGAAATTAGAAATTAGTAAAGTATTAGTCAGGGGGGCTGATGGGGGGTTTTTGAGGGGTTTTTGGGGCCCATTTAAAGAAAAAGGATAAAAGTAAAAAGAAAAGGGAACCCTATAAATCTATAGGGGAAAGGAAAAGACGGGGTGGGGGTCCCCCTTTGGAAAAGGGTTGGGGGGGGGTAAAGGGGGTTTTTTGGGGACTAGGGGCTTGGACTTCCAGCAAAAAGCGTGAGCGTCTTAGATAGGATTTGAAGGAAAAACGAATGTATTTGGTACAAACAACTGTTGGGGGTGGCGGGGTAATGTTTGGGTAAAGGGGATTCAGGAAACCACTTTTTTTTATATACCCCCCGGACTTGATCCGGGAAAAGGGAATACAGTGCCTGCATTTTAAAACCCTTTCAGGGTCCGTCCCGAAAAACAACGGTTTGGTCGGGGGATGCCCCCAAACCGTAGTCTAGGGAAAAAATTCTAGCGCCTTCAAATTTAGCCCCGAAAGCCTAAAAGGGGCCTACTATGAAGAAGGGCTGCGCCGGGGTGTGCCCCAAAAAACAAAAAACAAGGCCCGGGAAATAGAAATTGGGGGGAACCCCGGCTCAGTCCCCCTTTTGTTCACCATTTCTCGTCGAAAAGTCAGCTTTTCCACCCCCAAAATTTGGGGACTTTTCCCTTCCTGTCTGATATTTTTACACGATGGAAGGGGGAAATAAAGACGAATTTCAAACGGCTTTGATAAGTTTTTGACCGAAAAAAAATTGACCGGGAAATATCAAAAATTAGGCAGAAAACCCCGCGACCTCGACCTTCTACCTCGGGTTTGGGGGGCACTCGGATTTCCGGGTTCGGGTTTCCTAAACTAAGAAAAACTAATTTTTTCCCCCCGGGCCTGGCCTTTTTGACTTCAGAAAATGACGATAAATTCCCTGACGGGGAATTTAAATTTTATTTGCCTCGAACAAATCATTCGAGTATGAAGCGGGGAAACAAAATTCACCAGGAAGTGTCGGTATGTTCGCCCCCGGGGCATGCCCCGGGGGTAGGTACCCCTATCTGGGGCCCGGGGGAAAACCGGATTTTTCACCCCGGGAGTACATCCCGGAGAAACACCCCCGGCCCTACAACCCCTTTTTTAGGTAGTGAAGTGAGGATGAGGGGGGGCAACACTTGGCTTGGATGGGCAAACAGACATCAGAAAAAGGGTTTAGGGGGCGGGTTGGTGGAAGGGAAAAACCCCATGCGTGACTCCCCCGTCCACGGGGGAAAACCCAGCTCCCTGACTCCCCTTTTTTCAAGACAAAAGCGGAGTGTCACCCCCCACCACCCCGCCACAACCACCCGTACAACCAGCCTAAAGGGCCCCAGTATCCCACCACAAACCGTACGGGATTGGGGACAAAATCCCAATTTTTTTTCCCAGCCCTCACCACTTTGATGACTCGCAAAGTGGAATTTCCCACCTACCTGTCCCCTTTGGGAAACCCCGGGCCAAAAGAAAATGGAATTTTTTTGAAATTTTTCTTTGAAACCCCCATTGATGGAAATTATTGTCAGGGGAAATAATAAGTATTTTCCCGTAAAAAAAACCATGGGAAATACACCTTTATCACCCAGTCCCCAAACCAAACAGGTGGAAAGAGACACTGTTGGGAGAAATGTAATTGCTTTTTTTAACAATAATGCTTATGCCCCACGTCAAAAAACAAATATAAAAGCCTACTGGCCACAGAACGGCTAATTTGGGACCCCCTCCTTCAGGAAATAAAACCAGTTAACAGGGTTTAAACTTTCTGTTTCGTATTTTCACTTTTCTTACAAAACCAGGCCCCGACAAAGTGACAATTAAAAAAGAATTTGAAATGGTTTTTTAGTATCTCAAAAAAAAAGTTCAGGGGTATACCCTTTTTTCCCCTTTAAAACTGTAATTGACGAGTCTTTTTATTTTTTTCAAAGGTACACTGTCAATTTAAGCAGTAAATACCGAGCAAGAGGAACCGCTTTTTGGGATAAAAAAGTTTTTACTCCCGTGATTTTTGGGGCAGTGGCCTGGGGTTGGATTGTTGTAAACCCCAACCCGGGGAGTAAAAAAATTGAAAGATACCAAGATGAAAGGGTAAATCAAGGGGAACCCTAGTGAAAAACATGAGGGGACCTTTTCTTGGGAAAGGGGCCCTACATTAAAAATCCCCATAACTGGAACAACCCATTAAATCATGAATTTTTTATGCGAGTAACAAGAAAGAAGTGGGTGGCACAGGCGTTCTAATCGAAAAAATATGCCCAGGGTCAAAACCCGGGGGTTTGTTGGGGAAGACGTGCATTTTTTACTGCCAAAAACATCATGGGATTTTAAAGGGGGGCATGACAAACAGATGTCACATTGTTGACAACCATTTTAAACCCTAAAAAAATGCAAGAAAAGTGGCAAATTGATCGGTGACTAAGAACGTATTCGAAACCAGTGACAGTGATTGATAAACACAAAAAAATTTCCTTGGTTGAAAAATTTTGACAGCCCGATTTTTTTTTGTTGAAATGTGTTCGTAAAGTTACAAGTTGGGACATGAAACTTTTTTTCCATCTCAGGGCATTTCAATGCTGAATGCATAAATATGTACCAAATAAAGCCCGGTAAAAAACCACCGTATGGTGAATTTTGTTTGTCTGGGGGGGCAACAACCTAATGAAAACCAGGGAACAACACCCGCAATACCATGGTCCCCGAATTTAAACCCAATATAAACCCCAAACGTTTTTTAGAAGAGAAGGTGAACATTTCATAATTCAGCTTTTCCCTTTAACTCAAAAGAAAAATTTTCTCAAAAAAATGCATTGTCTGTGACAAACAAAACGCCCGGGAACAAAGCGCAAAGACACACGGTTTTAAAGGATGAGGAATTTTTAAAAGGGGCCTCTTGCATGGTTTCCCTTGTTTTAAGGATTTTCCAAAAAGCTTTTCCCGCAGTTCTAAAACCATGTCCAGTGATTGTAAAAATGTAAAAAATAAAATAGAACATTAGTAAATTTTACAAAATTTTTTGGGATGTTTTTTTGTAATAAACAACAAAGGGAAACAAAAAATATGATAATAACTTTTGTGCGGTTAAGGGGTTTCCCAAAACAGTGAGTTTAAAATATTAAAATTTTTATACAGTATTTGGGGCTCTCAGGCCCCCCAAAAGTTATAGGGAAAAGAAAAAAATTGGGGGAAAAAAAGAAAAAACAACAAAACCCAAAAAAATAAAATAAAACGCGATGTGGAAATTTGTCGATGTTGCCGCCCCCCCACAAAAAAATTTTTTTTCAAAAAATTTTTGGCACTGTTCTCCCGGGAATACTGACAGATTTTAATTTTTTATTGTTTTATTACCTTCACAAAAATAAGCTCTTTTAAATTTTGTAAAAAAAAAAAAATATTTTTTTTTTTTTTTTAAAATTTCCTTTTAACTGGTGCGGACTCAGATTTTGGCCTTGGACCCGAAAGGGTTAAAGGAAAGGGGTTTGGGATATTGGCAGTTTGGAGGGATATGTTGTGTGTCTTTATACATACAGTGGACCCTCGCCTAACGAATGCATAACGTTAAATTCACCTAACGATACATTTTAACGCTAACTTTTGCCTCGGCTAACGCTAAAAAACTTGCCTAACGATATTCGTTCTCGGGTGCCAATTAATATCGTTAGGCGAGGGTCCACTGTATATGCTTCTAAACTGTTGTATTCTGAGTACCTCTTCAAAAACAGTCATTATGTATGAGTGAGGTGAAAGTGTTGAATGATGAAGAAAGTATTTTTCTTTTTGGGGATTTTTTTTTTCTTTTTGGGTCACCCTGCCTTGGTGGGAGATGGCCGACTTGTTAAAAAAAAAAAAATTACAGAATGTCTCAGGAATGGAATGCATTGTAATTATTAAATTTAATAATGCTTTCTTTTAGGAGAGTAATAACTAAAAGACTATGTACACCTACCCTCTGACTTACGACCTGCTCGACTTACGACCTACTCGACTTACGACCACTCGACTTATGACTGTGTTTTTTATGCCAAATTTCTGGGAAATAAACAACTATTTGTGTTTTACACAGTGTTTATCCTAAACCTTACAGTATAAAATACAGTACTAACAACATAAAAATTAAAGTAAAACATGAAAACCAAAATAAAACAATAAAATAAAGTCATTACAAAAATGTTTTGTTGATATTCAGTAGTAAAGCTCGACGTACGACCATTTCGACTTACGACTGGTTTCTCGGAACCAAACTCGGTCGTAAGTCGGATGGTAGGTGTATTGTAGTAGTAATAATAATAATAATAATAATAATAATAAT